TACAAGGCGAGCTAGCTCGTAGACCATTAAGCCACTGAAACCCAACTGATCCAATGGCCAGTGCATGGATTCTGACTTCTGTCAATTCATCACATAGCGCGACCACTTCGCAATATCTCCCTCGATGACTCACTGCCTCACCTTCAACCTGTTGTATCCTAGTGGTCACGGTTTTTCACGAGAACTCCAGGTTAACTGCCTGAATAGGACCAGTTGCTAATGAGCATCAGATCAATTCTCAAATATTCGTTTCTTTTTGTAGGCCTGAAATCCTCCAACCAATCACACAAAATCCCTACAAAACCAATACTTGAGAATTGATCTGATGCTCATTAGCAACTGGTCCTATTCAGGCAGTTAACCTGGAGTTCTCGTGAAAAACCGTGACCACTAGGATACAACAGGTTGAAGGTGAGGCAGTGAGTCATCGAGGGAGATATTGCGAAGTGGTCGCGCTATGTGATGAATTGACAGAAGTCAGAATCCATGCACTGGCCATTGGATCAGTTGGGTTTCAGTGGCTTAATGGTCTACGAGCTAGCTCGCCTTGTAACTAGAAGGTTCTGGGTTTGAACCCTGGCGGTGAGTACGTACTGCTGAAGATTCCCAAACCAGTCTAGCGAAACAGCTGTCCAGTACTCCCTGTAGGTGTTCCGATGGTTCTCTAACTGATATCAGCTCATGATGAAATCCTGTAACCAGTCAATCAAATCCCTACAAACCAATACTTGAATAGCCTAGATTTCATTATTTTTGACAGTAATACCCACACATGTTGAAGCTTGCTATAACCGAGTGAAGATTAAAATGTCAAACTCGTTGATATCAAAGAAAGTAACTCGTTAACACGATCTGTGTTTCGTGTGATAAAATGATTAAATGATTAGGAATTTATATGTAAACTACATCAAAAATCAGTGGAGATATAATAATAATAAAGCTTTATTTCAAACAATATGTGAACATATATTACAGGAATTTTCAGCGTATTTAGTTCCAAAATATTACCTCTCAATACAGGGTTTACTTACGAAGTAATAATATTAAGTGTTTCAAATGACCCAGCGATGCTGTATATGAGAAGAAAACAAATTCTGTAAGTTTTTCCTCATTTCTTTCAAGAAATGCATAGTGTCTAGTTGGAAGCCAATAAAATACGCGCACATGTTCACGTAGCGTTCACATGCTGTAGTTGTACGATTAAAACAATAAGAAATGCAGAAAAGTTTAAGTATTTTGATGGACGCGAATTCTGATAGCCCAGGGGCTAAGGTAGGCTACCACCATATGTACGTAATTAAAAGTACAATATTGGCAACATTATTTTTTTTTCATTCATTTTAGTTCCCAGTGGAACAAATGGCTTCAGACTAATGCTTCGAAGTTTCGGTAGCAGTGTCTTTTTAACGGATGAGGTTGCCAGTCTCACGCCCAACCTTCCCTATTTACAGCGTTTACTAAAGGCTACGCGAGGTTCAGAAGTGCGTCGACCGGGGATCGAACCCGGGACCACTCGCGTGGTTGGCCAGTGTTCTGTCACTCAGCCACTGACGCACGACAGCATCAGTAAAAAAACTTAAATAGAAAACTATCGATGGTGAGGGACTTTTAAGTCCCCTTTCTTCCAGGCATAAAACAAGAAAGTGAGAAATAAAGAAATATATTCAACAAGACGCCCTATCATAATCAAATAAAGCTAACGTCTTCCAAATATTTTCCATTTTCTTGTGCATATTTGTGCGTGATGACATTAATGAACACTAATAGAAAGAGTCAACACTGTCGGGAAATAGATATTGTAGTCTATCTGTGTGACTGCATACAGAAGTATTTGTACGGATAGGTGTTAGTGTTCGTAAACCAATGTACTTATCACAATAAAACGCTAAGATTTGTTAAATCTTATGGATTGTATAGTAGATTTAAAGGGAACCTAGTTCTAAAAACTAATCTCATCTTAAGATGTGTTTTGGGTCTCATAAATAAATGCAGTTTCGCCAACCTCGTGAGACAGTATTTTGATTCATCAGATCATTTAGTGGTACAAATCCATAAAGGAGAAAAAGACATAAACACCACTTAAGATTTCTCAGGTTTGGCAGCAGTAATCAGTTATTTTTTTAAACTGAGAAGTCTAAGATTCTAGGTTTTTCTGTTAAAAGGTGTTAACCATAACGTTATAGAATCCTATTTTTAACCTAACCTAGCACTACAGTTATTTTTTTTTATTTTGGTTACAGCTTGATGCCACACCGTATTTTCAGTACAAGTATGGCATTTTCAGCATGGATATCGGTAGCCCAAATTTTGCAGGCCGACCATAGATATCGAGTGTGCGCCGGCAGGGGCTCGAACCTCGGACCATGTGCATGGTCGGCGAGAGTCCTAACCACTGTGCCACCGACGCACAAGTTTATTTAAAATATGAAACTTCTTAATTTCAATGAAGAAGACTGCAGTTTTAAAAATCAGTCATTTATGAATAGTAAGAAGAAAGTTTAAGATTGGTAGTTTCTGAATATTTCAAGTATATTTAATTTATTACTGTTTACAGCTCCCAGAAATGGACAGGAGTTACTGACGCGTAGTTATAATGCTACCAGTTTTGTGAACAAGCATTTTTCATCAACACATTAATTATGTCTTACCATTAAGTGTACGACGCTAATAAAACAATGTGTTAAATTATTTAGAGGTAATAAAATTGTCTGATTCCAGGTGAGTATTATTTAAATACACAGTAGCACCTATACAAATGTTTTAATAAAAGCAATTATAGCAAGACACATATGGATTCGAGTCAAGATATAACATGAATTCAGGCAAAACGGAAAACATTGACAACTGAATAATAATCTGTGTTCAGGAACATCTGATAATTATTCTCAATGAGATTCTGAATAACATCCAACTAATACGAAATAGCTGTTGTTTAATTCTGCTTAGTTTCACTAGCTGAAGCTGTTTTTATTCAAAACTACTTTGAGAAACAAATGTTATAAAATGCGTACTTTGTATACTGTAATACAGTGAAAATTAATACAGCGAGTGAGTACTACTGAAGAGCCCCAAACTGGGTCGAAACAGCTTTTCAGTACTCCCATGTTTTCTAATAGCCCTGTAACCGATTTCAACTCATGATGAAATCGTGAAACCAATCAAATCCCTGGAAACCAACACTTGAATATCTACTTCTCACTGTGTAATTTTCGGTGAATACTCGTGTTATAATTAGCAAATTAGAGTATGATATCGATGGTGAAAATACTGGCATTGATTACGTTAGGGCGTGAAATGTCTAGACAGAAGCCGAGTGAACTGAACAGACGAGTTGCTGAAATTCAACAACATAAATGAAAAATGGACAGGAAAATTAAAGGTTTTAATAAAGGCTTTAGCCGAAAACTTAAGAAAGAAACAGAATACTTTCAAATGAATATGTTTTCATATGTGATCAAGGTAGTAACACTTTTCAGTTTCGCAAGTATAATATGATCAATATTGCAGTTTTTTCTGTATATCCACGACAAATAATAAACATTTTATACGAATACTTACCTGCCATACTGAATGACATCAGATTTTATTGTTCATATTTCAGTCACGTGTAAACTTGTCACAGGTAAAATGTGTATACCTATTGAGGTTCATTGTGAGGCAGTAAGATCTTTTTTATGCGTTTGTTGGTTAAAAATGAGGCACAAATCAGGACACAATTAGTCAGTTGTAAAGTGCACAGACTGTGATGAAATCTCACCACTGTTTCCCTTGGAAATCCAAAATCTGCAGATGACAATTTGTTAGTGTGAGTGGTTTGCAACTGCACATGGCTATTCGTGGTATAAAGTGCTTTGTATTTTTTGGTGGCTTCCATTCAACTCCACTTAGTCAAGTGGTGAAGACATACGAGAACGAAATTCTCCTGGAGGTCAGCAATAAGCTGCTCCTAAGACAGCAGACAAAGTACTGATTATTATTCAATAAATCATTGAAATTCATGTTATTTCATTTCACTGAATTAATATACTGTCTTTTATTGCAGCTGGTATGGAGAGCTTGAGACACTCCTGATGGTATTTTACTGATTGACTAGCATTTAAAATGACAGGTGTTAGCATTCAGTCCCACTGAGAACATCACTGCCTACTGGGATCCAGGTAAATCATGCTGACAAGTACCGAATAAAAAGAAGCACCCTCCTGAATTCCATTTCTATCTGGTACCACTGAAATAATGTCATACTGAGCTTGTCACCGAAGTCTGCTAGTCAAGTAAATAAGACTTAACTGTAGTGACAGAGACCTGTGAATAAGGGTCTATAGAGAGAAAATATTTGAAAAAAGGGATTTCAGTCTCTCTAGATCTACCATGGTGATACTAGTCTATTTAATTTTCAATAGAGAGGAGGGGGGAAACGGACCTTGCAAATAATGTAAAATTAGGTCACTATACGAATAGTTCTTGAATAACAACAACAAAAATGGTGGTAGTGATAATAATAATAATAATAACAATAACAATGGCAATAAAAACCTTACTAATTAGATATAGCAGGTTTAGGTGGGAGAGAAATTAGACAGAATTAAAATGATAGAAAGACACTGAAAGACTTTAGGACCTTGCAAAATTATATATATATATATATATTATATTGTGTGAACTGATATTTTAATGTCAAGACGAATAGTTGGGCTAGATGAAACCATTTATATTCTAGCGCACATATTCAATAAGTAGACTGTAGGGTCTATGCACCGCTCAGTTATATAGATTCTAGATTGCCACCGTCGCAACATACCACAAGAATAGTCTACTCAGTATTCTTTCACGATACAATAAAGTTACTTCTAATATGCTAGTGAACTTATGTTTGGTATTTCTGATAGTCTGCATTGAGATGAAAAACGTGATGCATTGGAGAATTCGTTGTTAGACGTGGTGTATGTTTCGTTGACATCATGAGTCAATAACTCCAAGTAAGATTAGTCGAACGTTCTATATCATAATTCGTCATATTTCAATGACTCGAAATCGCCTTCCTAAAATGAAAGAAAGTTAAGTGTTTTCTGGCGTTAACAAAATCAGTTTGCTGCTAATGAGACTTCATTTTATGCTGTAATACTACAACACTCTCTATCATTGAAAAACCACACGACTTAAAGTTAAATTGTTATCTAGTTGAATAAATTACACACTTACTTCGTCTAGAATCATAAGACCCCACTCTTGGCCTTTAATCCAAGTCATCATTCGATCAGCTTCATAGGAACGTTTCGCTGAATGTGCAATCATACTGTACGTACTAATGCATATATGTGAACTTTGATTTGGACGATCTTTTGCATCACTAGTGAAACGAAGTATTTGGCCGTCTTCAATAGTAGACCATAATTTGAATTGTGAGCGCCATTGTTCAACAGCAACACCACTAGTGCATAGAACAAATGTTGGCTTTCTTATTGTACAAGCAGCTGTAACACCAACCTGGAAAATATTTTCAAGCAAGTATTAGTCATTCAATCTCTAAATGCATTTAGTCTTAAAACAGAAACAACAGTGATAGGCGAAGTTGGAATATGGTGATCCAAGCGCACAAACGAACTTTGAAGTGGTCAATCAAAGTGATGGTTAATAATGAAGTTAGAACGATGAATGAAGTTTTTTTTAAATTGAATAATGAACGTTGCTCAAGATTTAGGAGAACTATATGATTCAGATAAGTGCTAATAATTGCTAACCGTAACCCGAACGCCTTATAGTAGAAAAGGCAGTCACATTCGGATGTACAGACACTCCTTTGAGAAATTCGGAGTTATTCATGAAAAATATTAAAGAAAAATATCCCGTTGAACATTTTTACACTTTTTACACCTAAATTAACCCAGTTTACTCCCATCGTTCTCTTGGATGATTATTTTTAAACTTATCTGAGTGATAAACAGGTAGAGATAAATTATTAAGGTGGGAAAGGTTACTGTAGTCAAAAGCAATATGAATGTTCCAGTAACCATAGAGGAGTTAAGCCGCTCGAAATAACAATGGAGATAATTATAGTAATTATAGTAATTTGCTATATAAAACGAGAACTAATTTTCCGCTAATTTGTTATTTTCTTAACTCACATGAAAAAATTACAACTTTGCCAGATAATCATTAAAGGAGAAATGTTGAAAAGAAACACATGTTCATATTTATTTATAACAATGGAAATGACTTTCCCTATGTTTGGATGTGAAAGTTATTCACACGTAACAAGCAACCTGACAATTAACACCTTCATAGTATAAAGATGAGAAGTTAAAACAAAACACAAGAGTAGAACATATCAACAAGAGGTAGAACTATTAATAGATATCCTTAAATGAGTCTGATAGGATGAACCAGCTGAAAATTCCCGTATATTTAACCAAGCGGTACAGAATTGGAAATGTTCCTTGATAATGACTTTACCTTTCAATTAAAATTATGTTTGATATTGTTTAGTGTATTAGGCTACTCAGTGTTCATGTGCATAGACAAAGATTTTTATCTTTTGTATAAAGATTGATTGGTGATGCTTTCTGACCTCGGTAGATGGTGTTGAACTCACTAATCGTCAGCTGACAGTCAATCACCAATACCTATCACGAGTCCTCATCAGTAGTGTAACTTATGAAGCCAACATTCCTATCTAATGTGTAATAAATTTTTACAGAAATCCAAATAACTTTACATCAAGTTACATACTATTTAATAAGGACAATCTGTTTGCCCAAAAATGTGTCAATGAATAGTAGCTTATTTGGTATGAGAATACGTTCAGAAATTCCCACACGAAAGCATACGTATGTATGTGAACTACCGTCATTTCATTTTTCATACAAATCGGTCAACATACTTTATTCAGCCATCAAAACAAATAAAACTGTAATAACGAAATTTTACAACCAATGGGAAAAAGAAACCAAGATATAAGTCTAACATAAACTTATATAACCACCAAAACAGACCGAAAAGGACAGTGGGTTAAATGTATATATATATATATGCATTCGGAATGAAACCACTAAATTTCTGTATCGCACTGATTTCGAAACATCTGCTAACCAAAATCACACAACAATCATAATTTTGTATTCGATCTGGAACCTTTTCAGTGATTAAATACCAAAGGCATATAATTAGGCCAGTGAATTCTAGCGCAACTCCCAGATTAGGTGAGGGGAATGAACTTGAAATTTTTAAGATTCCGTTTTACGACATACACATACATTTGTAAAAATTACGTAGGGAATTACTCTGCTCAAATACTTGAAATCAAGTCTGAGATTACACTTTCTTGATTAATTCATTGAACCTGATCACAATTCTGATATGTCAGGGAAGTGTTTTCCTCTAGGATACATACTAGTAATCGGTTGGTCAGTTAGTTACGACTCACTCGGTACTGAGCTACAAGGCAAACTTATCTTTTGAGGGTTAGCGATACTACCCATCGCCCAGGCTGAAGTAGATGGAGTGGGACTCGAACCCACGGCCTATTGATTGTAAGTCGGAAGTGTAAGCCAATGAACTAAACACTACAAGTGATCTAGGTGAACTGGAAAAAATAGACAATGCGGTGCTATACATAAATCTTTGCAATCGCATTTATTCTACATCTTATCCTAGTCAAATAAGATACACAACATACCAAGTCATGAATCATTTTGTGTAAGACAATGTTCAGCAAGAAGTCAAAAGTTGACCACCGTAAATTTGTGAAAAGTGTTCAAGGCATAACTCTGCAATTCTGACTGCCTCGCGAAATCCACCATTCAAATTATTTAACTTTTTGATAAAAAAAGTTATGAGTTCTAACCATTAAGCTACATTTAATTTCATGCATAACGATTATGATTACTATTCTCACTGGGTGGGCAATATATATACATACATGTATAATTGACATGATGTCAACTAGTAAGTTCTCTCGAAATAATTACCATTATGGTAATTATCTTTATTAATGGGTAAAAATCTAGTAAAACTTTTTATTTATGCACGAGTGTGTTTTCCTATCCGTGTAAACATCCTTTCACAATTATGACAGTAATAAAAATAACATTATAACCTATTGATTTGTTTACACAATTATTCAGAGTTATAATTGTCTCCGCTGTTGTTATTATTTTAAAAACCTTTTTTATCAGTAATAAAGTTAGAGAGGAGGAGGTGAATGAAGAAGGTACAGAAAGAGGCAGAATGGTAAGGAGAGAGAGAGAGAGAGGAAAGAGATGAAGAGATTAACAACAAACACAAATAAAACAACAATGATGATGATAAAAAAAACAATAACAATAGTAAGAATTACAATGTAGAATGAAACTATGCTGAACAAAATATCAGAATAATAATAATAATATATAACCATAATAAACTCAGTGAATACAGAGAATGAATGAATGAATATTCGGAACAACAGGTAAACAACAAAAGATGGGGAGAGAAGGAGGGGAATTCAGAGCGAGGGAGAGAACATGAATGAACATTTCAGTGAGTGTTTATTACTTCTAGCAAAAACCATTGAATGTATATTAATCAAAAATCCTAATATTAGATTAAACAAAATCAATAGAATTCGCATAAACAGATAAGTAATAATTTTGTGTATACTTTGACTGACAAATAATATCTAGATGAACAGAGACACGTTAGCCAAGAAGATTATTAATAAACTAACTCAGTAATTAACCTAATTACCTTCAAAATAAAACCAAAAGTAGAGGTCCTAGTAATAAAATTATTTTGGCTTACGGGTAATTGTCGCCATTAGAAGTCTGCTTGACGTCCATTAACCTAGTTATATGAATAACTCCCCCCAGTCAGACTATCATTAGTGAAAAGGATGAAATATTGAGAGTGAAAATAATTATTTAACAACGAGGAATATGTAAAAAGTGCCCCCTTTCAGTGAAATTCACCGGTTGCATCTTACAATATAATTTTTGTTCTTTTGTTAATGCTTGCTAGTCAGGCAAAAACTATTGACTGATCAGCGAAAATATGTTGAAATGATGAGTTTTTATTCGAAATATACATCACTAAGGGTGAAAATCACAACGAAATGTTGAAGATGAACGCAAATAACAAAGATAATAATAACGTGTAATTGTACGTCGACTGTATGTTAGTTAATATTGTGGAAAAAGAAGGCAGATATTGGGAAATCATGTTCTACTCACCTCGAAGGTTATTATTATCATTATCAACCTAATTAGATGGATTCCGGTTTCACTAAAATGAAATCTTAAGTAATATTGTTAACTCACAGTGATTAGAAGTGTGAATATATGGGAGAAAAATACCTTCTAAGATATTCAGGTGAACAGGATGAACATTGGAAAACAGCTGAGTAGAAATTCTTTTTGCTTATTTCAGTCGGGAAAAGAGTTATGCTGGAAGTGGGATGTTGATGTTAGCAATTAAGTCGTGTTGTGAATCGGATTGCTGTTTCGCTTCGTTCGTCGTTCTTCATGTGTACAGAGTCAAGAGCACTTTGCTTTCTCTTATATCCCTGAAGTAACACAAACATTTTTCGAGGCTCTTACATTATTTTGATAGCACACAAACCAACAGTTGCGGAAAACACCGTTAAATTGACAAATATACAATGAGGGTGTATTGCAGTCATTCTCATGTAGTTGAACGGTTATCTTAAGGGAAATAAACACACAGACACACAACACACACACCCGTTGAGCGTAAAGAAGAAATACAAGCTCTAGTAAGCATCTAAGCAGATTCGCTGCAAGTCATGTTGGTTACCTTTGTATTGAGTACAAACACATATATTTTGTCTACTAAATGACACCCAAAATGTGTGTCACTGGCCATATGATTAGCATAGAGATAAAGCTGTTAATCATGTGACATTCACACAGATAGTGCAGCCGAGGTTATTAGGTGTATAGTGGGAGATGATAAACTCGATGAGTAGTATAAACACACACCCTTGAGTATTTCTTTCGCCTTTTTTTATTAAACTGTTATAATAGAACTTGGGCACTGTGGTAGGGTATAATTCTATCATGGAGTATATTATTTTGATAAAATCTCGCAGTGTTGTACAGTATTATTTACTGATGACGTTTCGAGAAGAATTTATTGCTCATAATATCAATATATATATATATATATATATGCTAATGAAACTTCAGAGTTTGAAGCCCTATGCCCCCATTTGGATTGCAAAGAATAAAAAAGAACAACATAGTACAAAACATAATCTAATAAGAATACATGGAAATTATTAGGCGCTCTGCAATGGGTTGAATTCTGGACAATATAGGAAAATACCTCAGGAAGTAAAATCGCACCAATGGAATCGCTAGAACCGTTCAACTTAGAGACATCTTACACACACACTTAAGTGCTGCAAACACAATCAACTTCCAAGAAGCACCCGAAACAGTAATCACTTTGTACCTTGTTTCCAAGGTAATTACGAATATCAACTGTGTGTTTGATTAAAGCATGTTCATCTAATTTGAAAACAGAACAATTTTTCCCTTGAAATAATCATACATTACGCATAAAGTATCAGCATATGACTGTAAACTTTATTCCCATTGTAAAGACCGTTACATAAACAGTGATTTTTATTGGAAACGAGCTTATCAACAAATGATTTCATCATTCGAAAGCGCAAAAAGGGGAATAACACATACCAGTGTTTTTCCAGCACCACAAGGCAATACGATGACGCCAGAACGTGCACGACCGTTACCAAACATTTTACGCAAACTTTTTTCTTGATATGGTCTGAGTGTTGTGCTTGCTTTTAGATCTATTGAAATATCTTTGTTCACTCGATCAAGACGAAAATCATATTCAGCCAATAATGGTACCTCTAATTCAATACACCTTTTTTGAAGTACTTCAATTTGATCTTGATTGACTTCTAAGGTAAGAACAACTGGTACTTTGGAATCACTGGGGACAGTTGAGTCTAAGACGAACTTAACATTGGCATCACCACGACTGCCGTCATTTTTTATATCTATCATTTCACCTTCACGATCCCCAACATCTGATTCAATGCCAATTGCACTGACATTTATGTTATCACTAGGTTGTTCCAAAAAGTTATTGTCTGATTTATCAGCAGTAGTTGTATTAATGCCAGTATTTGATCCCTGTGACTCCCTAGCTTCTTCTTCTGCATATATACGAGCGTAAAGGCGTATCATCTTGTCTTCAATGGCAATTTCTTTTTCAGTTTTAACACCTTTATCATCTTGTGGCTGGTGTTGTATTACTAGTGATGCAGCATTGTAAAGTTTCACAACTTCTACTTCTTGTTGTGGTTGTTTCAGATCATCGCTTTCCTCAGTAATTGTTGTCTTAACTAAACACTGTTGTACAGTTTTGTCGTTCGCTAGCTGTTGTAGAAACTGACGATGTGGACTTTCAACAAAATAACGGCCACCTTTTAAAACTAGTTTGGCCTAACCATATGATAGGCTACAACTACGAATATAGGCAACAATGCCCTCTGGTAGATCAGTTTTACATAAACGACGCAAACAACCAATTATTTCACCTGGGCGCAAACCAACTGAAACAGCTGCATACAATGAATAAGAGGTGAGTTTATATTCATGGATATGTAGTGGTCGACACACCGGTTCGGAAATAGCAATTAAAAAATCTTGAGCTTGACGAGCTAGTGGACTAAATGCTTCAAGAAATATGTGCCCATGCGGACCAATCCACAAGGGACGATAGGGATGGTCTATGCGTAACTTCAATATATTTCGCATATCTTTAGCTCCGAATTCATCTTTTGGTGTGCACACAACTGATGATGCATCAGTAGACTTGCTAACTGAAGTGCCGTGTTCGTGACGGGCTTTTACTGTTTGAGCTCTTGATACAACACGTAATTCATCCGATTCATATTCATCAACATCAGCGTCATCATCATCATCTTCACCATCATTTGTGGCATCATAGTCAATATCCGAGTGAAGTTTGTGTACACTGTGGCCAGTAGTAGCGGTAGATTTCTTTGCAATCTTACCATCACCCCTACGACCATAAAGACTTTCATTAGACTCACGATCGAAATCCATAGAACCTGACATTGTAGAGTCTTCATCTTCTGATGGATAGACATCTGGTTTATATCTTTTGGAAACTGGTTCCTTAGCAGACTTTGTGTTCTGTCCACGTCTGCGATTATCCGGTCGGCTCATGTTGCTGGTACCGATTATCGATTCTGAAAAAAAGGTAAGATGAAGTGTAATATCACTCTATAGAATCCGTTGAATTAGACATTATCTCAAGAATAACAAAAGAAACTGAATAAAACTCAGCCCAACATTAAGAAATGCGCGCAACATCATGAAGTGGGTTAACGAAGTGTCAACATTAAAAGAAGTTATTTCTACACTGCTGTTTGCCTCTTATAGATAATTTAATATCCAAGATGAACTTGAATAGAAGAAGAGTAGATTAAGTTTCCTTATACTTATTGATTGCACTTGGTTAATTTAAGTGAAGGTTCTGATCTCCTCATTTCTTTAAGAGTGTACAATAACTGACATCTTATGAAGCTTGACTAAGCATCCATTAGACAAGGCCCTACTACTACATAATGAAAACAAAAACAAAGTGTACAACGCTATCCTGTCAAAAAAGATTTATGACTGGTATAGTATGACCAATAAAACTGTTACATTTATAATCTCATGAAAAACATACACACATCCAACCTAGACAAGTAATTGTGAAACTGTAGATGGCTAAGTCTGACTGTAAGTAGCTGAGATGGAAGACTTCGTCTCTGTTATACGACCCATATGAATTATTGTTCTACGGTATCTTTTGATACACACAGTCAGATTTAGACAATCCATAACAAAAAGCTTCAAAACGGATATATATAGAAGGCAGAATATCCTTAGGGTTATATGATGGTTATCCTTTTAATTTCACCAGCGCTTGTATCACTAGTTTGGTTTCTTTAAGTAGATGCAAAACGGAGTCATCTTGCAGGGTGAAAGTAACAGGATAATTTCATCCCTATATCCTTTGAAATTAATATGGGAATTATGTCAACTTCGAACCCTGATCATACTAAAAAATTATAGGGGAATACAAGTTTGAACCACCCCCCCCCTTCACCTTATGGGGTTTGAACAGCCAGGTAGTATCACTGACCCCAACACAATAAATGTCGCTCATTGCAAACAGCATGAAATCACAAGTGGGTGTTGTGAATAACTGGAAAACACTCGAAGAATGAAACCACCCAGTAAATCAGACCACCTGAGATAAATTATTCAGATAGATAAGCCATCAGTAACTCTAGTCGTACTTGTCAGATGAGTGAGTATACATTAAACCACGGATCAACTAAGTCATCCATTTTACAAATATTTTTTTTCCAAAAGGAAAAAGGGGTATACATGCACATGCTCCAAATTGTTCAGATTGATAAAACGTAATCATCAAAACGAAGCATGTTTGCGTGTTCAAGCAAGACTAATCAGAAAGAGAAAAAAAAACTGGAGAGCACAAGTGTGTATACAGCAGCATGGAAGCAAATAGTGTGGTAGGCACACTCAAAAACTTGTGATGATGAATGATAATGGCTAATAAAGAAACTGTGACCAGAGAGAGAGAGAGACAAAGAGTATGCGATAGCCTAGGAGAGAGACAATGAAATCCAGAAATAAGTATATTCAGTTCACAAAAAGGAAAACAATGTGGATGCAAACGAAAACCAGTCTCTCTCTCTCTCTCTCCCTCACACGCACACACAGAGGGACTTTTACATTACTAAATATTTTTTTTCATGGGAAAATTTACTTTTCCCAATTTGCTGCAAATCTCTATTTTGTTGTGTTTTTTTTCGTTGACAAAATGATTCATTACTAAAGACAAATATCAAGACTAGTTCATCATATTTCACTAGACTTAAAGAATATATATGGATGAGGGAGTGTTTTTATTGGACAATCAACAATTATAAAGCAGAAGAGCCTATCATACATCAGAAATAAATTTGAACAGGTAACGTATCAAAATAAAAATTCAATGTTAAATATATGCAACACATAAACAGTTGGTGAAACGATTCCAAAAAGCAGATACCAACAATGGCTTAAATGCTATAGGACGCATGATTACATTTTAAAGACAGATTGAACCTTCTCTACCCATTTACTGCTCAACTAAATCATCACCACCACTACATAATGAAAAGCGGGAGGATTTAAAAACATGTATATATTCACATGTAATTGGTAAATGTAAAAATGAAATGATAATATTCCACAGTATCGATGACGGTGGTTTCACGGCTGACGAAAAACACGCTACCTGGTTGAGATTTAATTTTGTGTAAGCAACACAAGAGAGAAAACACTTGAAATAGAATAAATATATGATTTTGTCTTTCTCACTATCATAAAAACATTCTTTTTCAAGAAATACTCCATGGAATAACAATGTCTTTAGAATTTTAAATGTAAAAGATCAAGCTATTCAAACAAATTTTCATTGATATTTTTACATCGAGTTGGACTGTGCAACCTTCAAGAATCAATTTCCAAGGGAATAAAGACACTGGATATTTTACTTATCAATAACATAAAAACACAAAAGGTGATTTCTTTTCTCAAAAATATTGGTATTATGAAGGCGAAAACATAATAAGAATCCATGTGATGATTTTATTTCTGTTTGTGTGTGTGTGTGTGTTAAGTGCGGAAATCTCCCATGAAATTGCACCTCAATAGATGTTTACACATATTTATACTACATACCTATATTTATGGGGGACCAACTGTTGGCATATGACCAAGTGGAAGGTGGGGTGGGGGGGTTAAGAACCTAGACCTCAGTGGTTTAAACACTCAAAATAACAAGCCACAACTCCATACATTGGAATGATGCTAATTTCCAGAGAAAAAAGCAACAAGCTGGGTATCTGTTTTGCCATTATATGTAGGAGCTAGACAACGGTCTTTTTGGTCTAGACAACAAATCATTGATAATCTAGGACATTTAAATTTATATAGTGATTGATATTGAGCAGTAGAAAAATCAAAGCTCAACTGTTTTGCACTTCACTGTTATAAGAAAATTCCTATTTTAATGTCTTGGATGTGATAATAATTCTTTGGGTGATTTGACTTTCTCTCGGTTCATATATTTGACAAAAATTCTACTAGCAACTTATTATTACTATTAGCTGGAGAGTATAAAAGAGCTTGTAAGTGATAGTTCTTCAAATGACTACTTTAAAAGATTATCACTGTGACATGAAACTATTTATTATGTGGGAGGTGAATTCAGATAGATTAGGGTGTGTGCTTTTTAATTGTCCACTAGGTGGCACACCCTTCTAATTAGACTTGAATTTTAAACAACAAGATATACATTATGTCCTTTAAGTTAACATTGAATTCACCAGTAGGCACAGAAATTGAGGTATTTTACAACGAGTATTTCATTATATTCTTTAAATGGGGTGGGTAAGAGTAAATGTCATATGTGTACACTACAAAGACTTCAGGGGCAAAGGTTTTTTCAACTGATAAACCCAATTGTGCACGTGACTGACTATACACAAAATGCTAATATTCTCATTCTGCAAAACTATTCACAAACCCACATGGGATTGTTGGTGAACTAGAATTCGGACATATTTTATCTTAGTTTACTTATATGACTTACAGCAGTATGCCTTATACTGTTGACCAGCTCTTATGTAACTGGAAATCCCGAAGATTCGCCAGCATCTTTGGTCAGCAGAATAAAATAGAGCTGGCGTCAAGTAACTGACGTTATCTTGCATGCCGCCAAGTCATTCGAATGCAGTCTGATAATTATACCAAATAAAATAATACCCTGGATACCTTTTAATTGCATAATTGTACTTCTTGTAATACCTATGACTCATAAGCAGTGAATTCGTCTAATAGTTTTTCCTTACTGAGGAAGCTGAATGTTATCTAAATATACAATCTCTTGAAAACGGTAATTTATATAACAAGGTATGAGAGGTTACAAGCAGACTCAGTGACCCGGTCACGTGACAATACCTGTTAGAACAAAGACAATAATCATATGGGAAACACTTGTACGAATTTTACACCTTTACTTTGCATCTACTAAGCGATTATTACTTACAAAGTATAATCTTTCTATACTTGTATGGAATTAAAACCAATACAGCTTCCTTTTATTCAAACTGAGACTTTAAAAGTCCATGTAAACATTTACATCTTAGTTAATGGAAAGAGCTAAGCGCAGGGACAGACAGAAAAGGAATTAGTAACTTTCATGGTGTAATAGTGCATGTACTTATCTTTATCTTTGTTCTGAATATTACATAACTTTTATTTACCGATTTCTTTATGATGAGTATTAGTTTTGTCTTTCACTTGCTTCATTGTCTGCTATCAATCGAACTGCAACAAATTCAATGAAATCAAACGAGTATATCTGATAATACTACAGCGTCTTCGTTTAGACTTCTCTTAAACTATAAAAAGATAAGAAGGAGTCTTGCTAACATTTGATAAGAAATAAGCTTTAATAGTCTTCATTCATTCGCAGTCAAACGATAATAGTACCATAAACACTGAAATACAAGGAATAACTCTGAAGTATTTGAGAAACCTCACTCCAGATATACATGCTAAAGACATAACGTTTCTTTCTGAATAAGCATATATAGACAGTTTTCGCACCAACGAACGCGAAATGCAAAACTTTTATTGTTCCGCTTCAGTGAAACCACCATAAATTTTCCACTTCAATGATATTGAGGAAAGGAGGAAAGTAGAGGCAGGTGAAGGTAATATGAATTCCTAAAACTACAGGCTTTTTCATGTAACTTAGTAGTGAAATAAAGAAAAACCGAATCATTGTTACTATTTGTGCATCTGTGGTCGACAGCGGGACTTCCCCTGAGGGAGCCTGGCACAACATACAGTTAGCTGTAGACACAACTGTAAAGGCTCTTAATAACCTAAAACCAAAAGTTAATAAGAACCATTGGATATCTACCGCCTCATCCGAACTGATTGACGCAAGAAGGCTGATTCCAGCGAGCTCCGAATATGATGAGGAGCGAAAGCTGCTCAAACACAAATTAACAAGAAGCCTTCTTAACGACCGTGAACAGTGGTGGGCGACAAAAGCAAAAGAGATGGGAAAAGCATCGGTGATAGGTAACACC